TGTACAGCTGTTTTCAGAGATACTTGTAGGACCTGTAAATTTTCAGTTCTTCAAGGTGGTATGATAAGGGGCAGGTGTTTACTCCTTTCCTGGCCTGTGACACAAGTACCTTTCTGTCCTGTAACTGTGAGGAGGGTTTCTCTACAGCCACCACAAGCTCCACCACCAGTGTTCCTCCTCAACCCCAGCACCGGGCAAAGCAAGAGATTCCTGCCTCAGCACTGGCAAAGAGATCCCTGCAGTCCCTGTCTGATCAGCCACTGGATTCCCCCTCAGTCTGTGGGCCAGAAGCTCGGGAAGCAGCTGCCCCTCCCAGGACCATGCTCTTGGGGAATGGAGCTGAGACCCCGTTTCCTCAGAGCATGCAGAAACAGACTTTTCCCAGTGACCTTGTAAGTCTTTGGCATTCCTGGATTGAGGAGTCTGGAAATCTCCACAGCTGCCTGCGATTCACTCCTCTGAGGTCTGCTCCAGGTTCGCTGTGGCCTGTGCGCCCAGCGCGATACACCTTTCTGAACAATCATCCAGGTTGTCTTGGGCTGGAAATTTGTTTCACTCTGTCTTTTTGTGGGTTCTGCTGCTTCAGAATTTGTTTAGAGCCATTTTTTATGAGTATTTGGAGGGGTTTGGGGGACAGCTCAAGCAAGTCACTGTTTTCACTCTGCCATCTTGGCTCTGCCCCCTATTAACAGTTTCTTAATAAGTCAGGTTGGGGCTTTTTAATTGCACACTGTATATTTTTCTCATTTTTATTATTTCCTTTAGTTTGGGTGTAGCTTTGAGCAGATTTGGTAGTGACTCCCACTTCCATAATGAGTTATTTCCAGTCTTTCTCGGAGAAGAGAAGTTAAGTGATATTTGCCATGTCCAAGCCTTATTCATTCTTTTACAGAAGAAAGTGTATACACATACATATATATGTAAGAGGCTTCTAGGTAGTCTATACACCTTTGGTCCCTTTCATTTTTAATTCCTGAACCACAGTTTCCAAAATATCGATCACCATTCTCCAATATACAACCTTTGCATTGAAGTTACTGAATACCAAAATTAGATTTAATTTGAAAGGTTTCATCAATTTCTTCCTACAATTTTTCTCCGTGCTCATCTTCTACAAATTATGTTAGCGTAGGAGCTTCAATTATTTTTACAGTGATCTTTTTTTGCAAATACTGAAATAAATACGAGATAAATGAATAGCTTATGATAGGACATTCCTGGTTGCCATGGGATACACAATAAAACCAAATCTGTTAACTCCTTTATTTGCCTCTCGAAGGAGAAATAATGAGGCATCCTTCCATTTAACGTCAACTTTTTTTTTTCTGTCTCCTAATTTCATTAATAGTGAAAAAGTCAAGATGGACATAATTCAGTTCTTCCATTCTGCCACGTATTGAAAATAACATCAGGTTTAGCAAACCAATAGCTATGTTAGTGTCCATGAAAACTGATCCTTGGGCCCCTCAATTCCCTTTTCCAGTCACTCTGCAGAAACAGGAAGGAGACAGGACTGAGGGCCATTTTGTATTTGTTTCTTTGTCTCAGGGGTTGCTATGGCTAAAGAATGCATTCTTAAGTGGCCAGGCTACTAGTGATGATCCTTTCCTATACTCAGGTAGGCTGATCCTCAGAAAGCAGACACAGCTGCCTTTCCAGCAGGTTAGAACCTGTCAGAGCTTGCATTCCGCTTATGTAACATTTGAGAACCCGGCTGGCATCCCTTCCACTCCATGATGATATATTGATTTATTTAAAACTTGAAAATTTTCTTGCCCTACACAGCTGAGAAAATTATGTTATCTTTCTTTATTATAACTTCATAATAACCTGCTTTCTTATTTTTAACTCTTTGATCCATCTGTAATTTAATTTGTCATATGGGATGAGAATCTAAATTTCTTTTTATTTTTAACCACTTAATAATTAACAAATCCTTCCCCCAGTTGTCATTATCTATTGGTTTATCAAACACCAGTCTTTTGTATGTAGTTCTCTAACTTGAAGATTTTTATTCTATTCCACTGGCAGGTTGGTATGAAGGCAGGGTAGAGTACCAAAGCTGCAGCTGGGAAGACACAGGTTCAAATCTTGCCCTGACATAATAACCATAGCTAGCATTTACATAGTGCCTGAAGTTCACAAAGCACTTAATATGTGTTATTTCATTTGATCCTGACAACAACTCTGTGAGGTATATGCTATTATCATGCCCATTTTAAAGATGAGGAGCCTAAGGCTAAGTAACTTGTCCAGGGTCACTTTACTAGTAAATGTCTGAGAGAGGATTTGAACTCAGGTCTTCTTGACTCCAGGTCGATCACTATATCTACTATAAGGCTTAGCTGACTATTAGCTATATGACCCAGGGCAAATCAGTTAACCTCTCTGCGTTGCTGTTTCTGCATCTGAAAAATTACCTCTAAGATCAATTCCAGCCCTATGGTCTGTTTAAATGTCTTTTTTTTTTTGTCAAGTACCAGATATTTTGATGAGAATTACTATAATACATGTTAAAGTCTGGAAGGGGAAACCCACCTTCATTTACTTTTTCACCCTCTAACTTTTGATATTCTTGTCTATTTTTCTATATAAATTTCATTAATATCTTATCTAGTTCTATGAAGAAACCCATTGGTATGTTTATTGATATTGTATTAAATAGTCATTTTTATTATATTGATCCCACCAAATGATGAATAGTAAATTTCCCTCCAGTTATTTACATCTTTATTTCTGTCAGTGTGGTTTTATGTCTAAGTTAATTTCTAAGTGTTTAAAGTTGTTGGGTTTTTTTTTAGTCATTTGTTATAATGATGCAAAAATCCTACTCCAGTACCCACTGTGATATGGAGGTGATCCAAAAATCTTAAAGGTTACATCACTGGAACAAAAGCTCTGAAAGGCTTTCAGGAAGGCCCTGGGACCAGCTGTGCCTGTTATCCAAGGAACAGGCTAGCTAAGTAAGTATGGAGTGGCTCATCACCAGCTTGAGGAGGAGTTCCAGTGTTTCAGCCTAGGGATTACATTTCTTTTATTCTTGTTTCAATTGTTATCTTTTTTTTTCTTTTTTTATGGAGCCTTGTATAACTTTCATATGTTACTTTTAAACATATACATGTATGTTACACACACATACACACACACACACACACACACACAATTTTGGTTTTAAAAAGCCAAACTGGCTGCACTGAGCAATCTTCTCTGGTTTCTCGGCTAAAACAGAAGGGAGAGAAAGCTTGACTTTTCTGGTAGCAGTGAATTAAATTGCATGTACAAACCCTTAGAGAAATAATCTAAATATAAGAGGCTGAAACAATTCAATTTGACTTCAGTAACTAAAATTTCAGAAGTTTGGTTTTTTTTTAATATAAATATCTATCTTGATTAACTCCATATAGAAGTGTTACACTTTATATAGACATACATATCCAGCACTTAGCATAGTCCCTGGAACATAGTGGGTGATTAATAAATGTTTATTGATTGATTGAAATACCTGTCTGGCAGAGAAATAGGCTTTCGGGCAAATAACGTTTGCACTGTTGAGACTGTTTCTGTCAAAGGTCTCATAGTGGCTTTTGGAGTCAATGGGGATGACTGCCCAGCATTACACTGTAATTTGCTTTCTCCAAAGTCTGCCTAAGAATAAAAGAGAAAAGAGGAAATTTATCTTTTGTCTACAATTTTCACCTTGTGAGCTTCTTCATAAGAACTTAGAATAACATATCTTTTGACCATTTGTCTACTGGAAAATCTTGTTTTTATTAACTTGAATCAGATCCTTGTATATATGGGATATCAGAAACTTGGCTGGAAAGATTGTTCCCCCCCTCCCCCGTTACCTGTTCATCTTTTCCTTTGAACTGTTTTGTTTCTACAAAACTGATAAATTTTATGTGATGCAAATTTTATTTTCTGGGATCCTCTCTATGCCTTATTTGGTTATGAACCACTCTCTGACTTCAACTGTCACCTCTCTTGCTCTTGTATATATCTGGCCACAGCCTTTCTCCTGAGCTCTAGACCTCCAATTTTGACTGTCCATGTGTGTCTAACTATTGGTTGATACTTTGTCCCCATTTACTCCCTCTACTGGCAGATTAAAGTAGGGTTTCAGATCTCAACACATTAGTCTAAGCCTGAATGATTTGCCTGTGTCTCAAACTTTTCATCTCAATCTTCTGACTGGCTCAATTAACTTAGGCCCAAGCTCTTGTTCTCTCTAACCCAAAAAAGCAAAAGCAGACCCATGGTTTAAATAGGTCACCTCCTCGATGAAGCCTTCCCTGACACCCCAGCCAGAAATAATCTTTCCATCTTCTGAACTATTTCATTTTATTTATACTTCTCTTAATGCATGTGAATATACTTCTCACATTCTTCCTTTTGTTATCATTGTAATTCTTTCTCCTAGTGGATTGTAAATTCTGTGAGGGCAGGGAACATGTTTTATTCACCACTGTATCCCCGTAATCCCTAGCACAAGACTTTGTACAAAATTAATTGCATTCTGAATATAGGATGGCCCACCAGGAGAGACACAATACTTTAGCAGACTGAGGAACTAACCAGAAAATGCGCAGTCATCAAGTCCTTAGGCCTTAGCTCTATTTATAAAGAAGCCTGAGCCTTGGGGCAGAGTAACAACAGTGGTTTCAGGAAGGTTGACTAAATACTTCTTTCATGAATACAGGATGGGAAACCCCTGAGATGGTTTGCAGGGAAGTCAAACATGCAGACAATGTTATCCTCCATAATTTGTGGAAATTGGACTTAGAGAGAATAAGTTGCCACATAAATTCATAATCTAAAACATAGTTACCAGTGGGCAGCTAGGTGGCACAGTAGATAGAGTGTTGGGCCTGGAGTCAGGAAGACCTGAGTGCAAATCCAGCCTCAGACACTTACTAGCTGGGCAAGTCATGTAAGCCTGTTTGCCTCAGTTTCCTCATCTGTAAAACGAGCTGGAGAAAGAAGTGGCAAACCACCCCAAGATCTTTGTCAAGAATGCCCCAAATGGGGTCACAAAGAGTCAGACACAGCTGAAACAACCGAATAACAATGACTTTAGATCCAAAAGAGACAAGCCAATGGCTGGTTAACAATATGGGGGAGGAAGTCAAAGGAATCATCCAGTCCATTCTGGATGAATTCAATGGATTATAGATTTTAGACTTCATACCTTAGAAATATAACTCCCTCATTTTACAGATAAGGAAAGTGAAACCCAGCTTTAAATTATGTAACAGTTAAGTGACCTGCCCAAGTTCATACAGGTAGCAAGTGGCAAGACTTGGATTTGAAACCGAGTCCTATGACACCTATTGTGGCTTATTGAGTATTGAAGCAAGCAGGGCTAAGTGACTTGCCCAAGATCACACAGCTATTAAGTGTCTGAGGCTGGATTTGAACTGGGGAAGATGAGTCTTCTTGGATCCAGGCCCAGCACTCTAACTACTGCACCACCTTGAAGTAACAGTACTGCCTAATGTTTACATGGCACATTCAGTTTTGCCACATGCTTTACATGTGTGATCACATTTGATCCTCACAGCAGCTGCTTTGGAACAGATGTGGCTACTTAAAGTGAACAACTCCCTCTAAGTGCACCTCCCACAAATTACAGAGGATAACATGGTCTCGAATGTAAGGTTTCCCTGCAAACCACCTCAAGGGTTTCCCACCCTACATTCATGGGGGGAAGTGTATATTGAGGTTGGTGTCATTATCATGCCCATTTTATAGATAAGAAAATTCAAGTAGTGCCATTATCATCCCCAATTTACAGATGAGGAAACTGTACTCTCTAGGCAAACAGAGGTTAGGCAACTTGCCCGGGGTCACACAGCTAGTAAGTATCTGAAGTAGGATTTGAATTCATGTCTTCCTGACTCCAAGACCAGGAGGCCTTAGTGCAGCTCACTCCACCTGGCAGGCAAATTTTGTTTGTTATGTATGTCATACAATGGATTTCTGTCCAGGTACAGCAGGTAAGGCTCCTTCAACTCCTGAGATGCCGTGGTTCTGCGAAATCACATACTCTAGAGGAATGATCTTAAAGTGAGAGCATTGGTTTGGCCAAAGGAATATGATGAGATCAGCTGAGTGGATATTTGGCTTTTGCTTAAAGCACTCTAATGAGGAGTAACCCACTACTTCCCAACACAGCTCATTCCACCTTTTGCTAGCTCTATCACAAAATTTTTCCTAAGTTTGCCTGCTTGCACCTCTCCCATGAATGCAGGATGGGAAACCCCTGGCTTTGAATCCAGGCTCTGCTACCTAGTATTACCTATGTTACCTTGAGCAAGTGACTTGAGCTGTCTGAGCCTCTGTTTCCTCATCTGTAAGATAAAAGGGTTAGCTCACATGACCCACCCATGGTCACACAATCACTAACTGATGGAGCCTGAACTTAAGTGCAGGTTTTCTGACAAGTCAATTGCTCTTCCTATATCTGGTTTGTGTTTTATAGAGACATTTGGCATCATTTTCTGATATTCTATTTTTGGAGTAGAAGAGAAGCATTCTGATTTGGGGATAATGTTTTGAAAAAACATTTTCTGTTCCAGTTTCTACTTACAATTAGCTGTGGTGCTGTTGTGAAAGGATCCAAAAATGGATTAGATGTATCAGCAGGGAAAGTCTTTATCTTCAAAAAAAAAAAAAAGAGAGATAGAGAGAAGGATGTTATTTTCATAGCACAAAACTAAAGGTGAAATCAAGTATTTCAATCTATCGCACTATGTTTTAGAATGTAAAATTGAATCAGTCCATGATAGTGAAAAAATATAAAAGTAAAACCTTAAAACATAGTTAGAGACTCAAAGAACAAAGGTATCTAAGAGCTAACTAGGTGGCTTCATCCATGCAATCAGACTATTGTGCAATCATGATAACAATACCTTGATTAGTATATATGCTTACCCAACGGAGAGCTGACTTTCAATCTCATCACAGAGAATACCCCTCATCAGGGTTTTCTTCATTGTCACAGGGATTACCAGGCATGCTGGGTCCCAGCGGCAACACAGGGCTCTCTACGTAAGAGGGTCACATTTGTTGTTGAAAATGCTTACTCAAGAGTTGGGGTAGATAATGAGGAAAAAGCTACTACTTGGATTTTGCTCACTACTGAATGCAGTGAGTCAGTTCAGGTGCCTGGTAGCCCCAGTGCCATCCCTGGGGAGGGCATTGAAGTGCCTTGTATACCCTCAAATGCCCTTCCTATAGATAAACTATGGGCAATGGGGTAACCTTTGGATTGGAGGCAAAATCTGCAGCCAGAGCATTCAAACCATAGTTGCCTAATGTATGCTAATCTATATTTAAGAACATTAGAGTGGTTCAGGTAGCCCTCATATCATTCTAGGGGTGAGTCAGGGTTGGGGTAGGCCCAGATATTGTAGGTAGGCCAGTCCCCAAAATCATGAAATTCCTAAGGGGGTGGGCTAGTTCTGGAGCTAACCCAGGGATTATAGTCTCTTTTGAAGGAGTCCCAAGATGGCCTCAATAGAGGCTCCTTGGTTGTCCCCTCTTTCCAAATCCTCTTTGCACCAAAAAGTTCACCTTCACTCTGCTTTTGTACTTTACCAGCTAAACTCACACCAACCAGGACATCCCTGCAGCAGACTTGGTGCAGACAGGAGGGAAGGGGCTTCCAAAGTCTGCTGATGCCCGCTTGTGACAAGTGTCTAATGGTCCAACAGATTTCACTAAGGCCAATATTTCTGTGAAAAGCAAGGTATTGTTGTGATCCTCAACCCACCACCATACTTTGCTATACCGATAGCATGAGATATATGGATTTATATATATGAAATATAAGGAAGGTTTATAAAGCAGGGAGAAACATTCCCCTCCACCTGATGAGAACGTGGTAGGGGGAGGGGTCCTCTCTTGGAAACACACCTATGATAATTGCTCAACATGACTGATAACTTAACAAGAAACTATTCTTCCATGTTTGAAGTGAATATAAGCTGTGGCACCTAAGGTATGGCTCACGTCTATAGAACTGTGAGCATTCTTATCCTTCCAGTGGTCGCCTTTGCAGGACGCTCTCAAGGCTGATGGGCTTCTGCATAGCTATACCTACCAGCCTTGTTTTGATTGGAGGGCCCATGCATGCTTCATTTTTCTCTTCTTTCATTTGAATAGAAATTTGAGGATAGCAACGAGAGTGTGCAGGATTTATGGCACTGGAGGACTCTGCCTGCTCATAAGGAGAGGAGAGAAGAGGAGGAGGAAGAAATGAGAGGAGAGGAAAGAAGGGGAAAGTGGAAAAGGGGAGAGAGGGAAGAAAGAAAGGAAGAGAGGATGGAAGGAAAGAAGGGGAGGAAGGAGGTAAAGCGCAAGAAGCATCCATCAACTTTACACCACTCGCGTGTTGGACACTCTGGGGCTCCCCCGCTCCCTCTCCTCTCCCAACTTGTTTCTTGCCCCTCCAGCTGGCTTCTCGTCCCTCCCTCCCACTGGTTTTCCTCCTCCCTCATTTCTCTTACACTCTTCTCCTTCTCTCCAAAACACAATTTCTTCTTCTCTATTAATAAGATGACAGACCAATAACCCTAGCTCCTTCCCACACCCAAACTTGGATGTATCTTGGAGCGTATGTGTGTAAGGTTTGTGTTAAAAGACTATGGCTTAGTTCTAAATTGTCACTTTCGCTTGTTTTCTGCATTTAGGTCTTTTGAATCTCCTTGAAAGAAAAATCTGTGCGTTTGCATTTTTTTGTTCTCCACCTTGAAACTATAACTTGGTTGAGAGAAGGGCCATCCATGCCTTTTCTGATTCCCTATATTTCTTGTCCCAGGACCCAAGACAGTGCCATGCATATAACAAAAGCCAAGGAATATTTGAGGAGCAGAATGAACAGATAATAAGTACTCTGATATTGTGATAGTAACTCAAATTCCAATACTAGTTTTCGTTTTAAATTTGAATCATTGATTCTAGATAAAGATGTTTTTCAGTATTCAGTACAATTCAGATATTTAGTAGGCACTGACTATGTGTAAGGCACTGTGTTAAGTATTGGGGCTACAAAGATAAAAGCCCCACAGGCCCTGCCCTCTATATTTTGTCTACCGGGAGGAGGGGTTTTGGGTGGGATACAACACACACAAATAAATGATATAAAGCAGAATGGAATAGGGCCAAAGGAGAGGTACAGACAAAGTGCTCTGGAAAAATTCAAAGAGGGAGAAAACACTCTCATCTGGGGGGAATCAGAGAAGGCTTCACGGAGGAGGTGGTGCCTGAGGTGGACCTGGAAGAAAGAGGATTCCAGCAGGCAGAGATGAGGCACAAATACATTCCAAGCATGGGGAATATGAGAGCAGAGAAGCAGGAGAACAGATAGTAGCCCAACTTATCTGGAATAGATTGTGTGTGGAGAACAGAACAAAGGGTGGCTTGAAAGGTCTCCTATGGGTAATAGGGAGCCACAGAGGGATTTTTGAGCCAGGTGGTAATGTGGTCAGACCTGTGTACTAGAAAGATCATTTTTGCAGCTATATTGGTCTTGCTGTAGAGAACAGAATTGTTCTGGCCTCCTGTCAGAATTCACATTCATCACTATCCAAGCACATTTTAAGATCTTTTTCTATTTCCCTGTAGAGTATTCAGACTGTTCATTATTCCTTTACATCACAGGTTCTTAACCTACGGTCCACAAATCCCCAAGGGGTCCATGGATAGATTTTAGGGTATGTGTAAACTTGGATGGGGGAAAATATTACATTTTTATTTCAATATAATTGGTTTCTTATATAACCCTCTATATATTATTTTATATATTTAAAAAAAACATTATTCGGAGAAGGGGTCTATAGGTTTGACCTGACTGCCAAAGGGGTCGATGACACTGAAAAGATTAAGAACCCCTGCTTTAGACCGTAGGCCCTGGCTTTTCAAAGTTTTATTTTTGTTGTTATTCAATTGTTTTAGCTGTGTCTCTTTATGATCCCATTTGAGGTTTTCTTGGCAAAGATACTTGAGTAGTTTGCCATTTCCTTCTCCAGCTCATTTTACAGATGAGGAAACTGAGGCAAATAGGGTAAAGTGGCTAGCCCAGGGTCACACAGCTAGGAAGTATCTGAAGCTAGATTTGAACTCAGGAAGATAGGTCTTTCTGACTCCATTTTTAATAGTAATTCATATTTTTTTTTGTTTTAATTTGGAAACAGATGAATCTTTAACACCATCCCTTTGAGTGTGCTGGCTATTTGCCGTCCCATGTTTTTCACATGTTCTAAGTTGAGTTACTTTGACAGATCTACAACCTGGGCAGCAGAGAGAGCCTGAATGAAGATAGGCCCTCTCTCGAGGAGGAAAGACAGGGGGTAAGAGGAGGTGAAGGAGGGGAGTTTGCTTGGCTCTCCTCCAACCTTTGCTTCCAAAGGGGCCGTAGCACCCCCTCCTATGACTGAGCAGGGAGTGCTCTCTAATCCCCCTCTGCCTCAAAGAAAGGGAGATTCAGTAGCGGGACCCTCCAGATAACATTCAGGAGAGAGCCTCACAAAAGATGAAGTTCCTGGGAGGTGGAAAAAATACAGTCAGCAGCTCTGGCTCCATGCCGTAGTTTCTCATTTTATTGTTTGGCCTTGGGGCCATATCCATAACCAGTTATGAGAACTTACGATATATTTGCTAGTGAGCCCATCAAGATAATGTGATGAGGCCTGATTGCATTCCAGCCAGGAAGAATGCCCTTTAGACACATCAGCCAGGCCTTTATCTCCAATTGACTCTACCTGAGTGTCTGACCAGCAAAACAGCACAACTCCCCTTGCCCTCAAAACCTCCTCCTAACTTTGTTATTTCTGTTATTCCTACCATCACCCACCTTCCCAGGTTCAGAACTTCAGTGTCACATTGGATTTCTTCTCTCTCTCATTCTCCTCAAGTCTGTAAAATCCTGTGGATTCTATTTTAACAATCTCTCTCACATCCATCCCTCTCATCCACTGCCATTGCAAAGCTCTTAGTTCAGGTCCTCATAGCTTCTTGCCCGACTTATTTTAATAGCCTCTTAACTGGCTTTCCAGTCTTTCATCTCTCTGACCCACCATTCACATGGCTGCCTCAGTAATCAGATCATGTCAGCCCTCTTACTCAAAAAGGTTTAGTGATTCCTCACTGCCCAATAAGTAAAGTAGAAACAGACTGATTTTTTAAAAAACAGCTTATAGTATTGCTTACATCACAAGCTGAAATAATTTCCCAGGAGGGTATCATCTTCCTAGCGTCACAGAATCAGAGAATTTCAGAATTGGAAAGGACCTCATTGATCCATACCCAATATCCAGTCCAATCCATGTCCAAAAGAATCCCCACTACAACATATACAATAGAGTAATTGTATAGCCTATTCTGAAAGGTCCCCAAAGAAGGAGGACCCACTGCATCCCAAAGCACCCCATTCTTATTTGAGAATGCTCTAATTGTTAAGCAGATTTTTTCCCCCTCTGACATCAAGTCTAAATCATCTCTTTTTGACTTCTTTCCCCATGATAGTCTTTCAAATACTTGAAAGCCGAATCTTGGAGTTCAAAAGAACGGTAGAGGTCCCCTAATCCAACCTCCCACCCAATGGAGGCATCTCTTCAACAATATCCCGGGAACCATCCTTGCTTTCTTTCAGCATTTACTTTGAAGGGAAAATCATTACCCAATGAGACATCCTGTATTATTGTTGAACAACTTTAATTGTTAAGTTCTTCCTTCACTCTCTGCCTCACTGTGATTTCCACCCCACTGGCCCTAGTTCTACCCTCTGGAACTCTGAAGAATCAATCAAATCCTTCATCCCTATGGCTATTCTCCCCCTGTCTTTGAAACGCTACTGCAAAAAAAAAAAATTTTTTTTTAATCAGACTGAGTAAAATGATTTATTAAGCTGTCTTCATTCCTTCAGGAATTTGGTCAGATGGGATGAATTCAATGCTCACACAATGGGCCAGATTATCTGGGGCTAACTTCAGAGTAAACTTTTCAGGGAAATCACATACTTTAAAATAGCTTTTAAGGCCCAGACCTCTTAATGTCAAATATTTTTGGAGGATTTTTCACACAACCTTAAACATGTTTTGAGCTACCTGTATCCCTCAGGTTGTATTTGTCCTATTTTTTTCTTCTTTTTTTCTTCCCTTTGGGGAAATGAAGAACTCCATTATGTAGAACTTTTCATGATTATATTGATTTGCTAGGCTAAAATACTCGAATCTTTTCATTTTTCCTCCTCCATCCGCAACAATGTTCTCTTCCCACTGTAAATGTGTTGTATTTGATGTTGGTTTTGGTTTTATCTTGAGGCCATTCCAGAGTAAAGTCACAGAATCACAGAGCTGGAATGCATCTCATAGGCCATTTACAACATCCCCAACAACAAATCAGTGATCGTTCAGCTTTAGCTGGAAGACTTCCAATGAGGAGGAAACAGCTACCTCCTGAAATTCCTCATTCCACTTCTGGATAGTTTTATAGGAAGTTCTGTCTCCTATCAAATCTAAATTTACTCTTTTTCCAACCTCCCCCCGCTGTTTCTAGTTTTGCCCTCTGGTCACCAATAGAACAAATCTAATTCTTCTTCCATGGGACAATCCTTCAAATGTTTGAAGAAGATAGCTGTCATGCCCCACTCCCTCCAAGTCTTCTCTTCTCCAGGCTAAATATCCCTAGTTCCTACAATGGAGTCTCATAGGAACTGGACCCTTGTGCCAAAGTAATGTTTCCTTATGAGCTGATCTAACCATGTGACTATCTTACTCAACCAATACCAGTGGCTTCCTATGGCCTCTAGAAGAAAACCTACATTGCCTTTAAAGCCCTTAACAATCTGGTCCCATCATGCCTTCCCAGTTTCCTTGGACATTACTCCCCCTCCCACATTCTGTGATCCAGTCAAACAGGCCTTCATTCTGTCCTCTCATGATACTCCATCTCTCATCATCTTCCTCCCTGCCTGGAATATACTCCATTCTTATCTTCCCCTCAAAGAGTCTTCCTCTTCCATTAAGACACAGCTCAAGTATCATCTTCTGCAACACTAGTGTCCTTCTTCCCAAATCATTGTTTCGTCATTTTTCAGTTGTGTCTGACTCTTTGTGACCCTGTTTGGTGGGTTTGCCATTTCCTTCTCTAGTTCATTTTACAGATGAGAAAACAGAGGCAAACAAGGTTAGGTGACTTGCCCAGGATCACACAGCCAAT